TACTCACTGAAGATAATGGGGGGGGGCGGTCGTGCAATATCGTGGAGGGTTGAAGTTAGACATTGTTGGATTCCTTTTCAGTGATCTAGCGGTTAAGCGTCCGCGTGCGAGATCAAAGGTTCTGGATTTGAGTCCCCTATGTGTGATCATGGATGCGCACTAGTGAGCAGTCCCATACTAAGACAAAACGGCCATCCAATAATTCTAGGTTTTCCATGGCGATCTAGCTTAAATTGACTCATCAATTCAACTATTAACTTACTACAATCTCCACAAACCCCTATTCTGATAATAAAATATCTTTCTCATGCAATTTGAATTTTTAATATTCCTCAATGTAAATCTATTTAATATTCATTTCAAAAAAGAAATTCATGAATAGATAAATAGGTTAGTCAATTCTAGAATTATTCCATTAATTTTAAATTGAATACACAGACAAGAACTAGATCAATATTGATAATAAACCTGAAGCATTGTCTGAATGATATGAACTCTTGACAATGGCATCTTGTATTCAAACTAAATAGAGAACAAATACTTCGTGAAGTTGACATTTTATAATGATGGTAACTGAATCATCTTTCTCGTGATTATACTTGTTAATTGTAATACTGTCTTATATTTGTCGAAAGTAATTACATAAATATGATAGTTTTTCTTTTCAGACAGATCACCATTTTAAATGATATTAGAAATAGTATTAATGTGATGAATATTACGGTAGTGAACGAGAGCTTAGGTGAGGATGACCAATTTATTGTTTATTCTTACAAAACTATAGAGTATCTTGTTAAAATATGAGGACTATACTTTAAATACTTCATTGGCAAATATTTCATCAATTGTTCTTTATATTCTGTATGATTCTTCCACTTCACAATTCCTTTCTATTAACCTCAATTCGATCTTCTTAACCTCCTGCTGCCAGCCATTCAACTTTGGTTGGTATTGCATACTACTTATATCTGTTGACACACCACACTACTTTTATTTATTTTATATCTAATAGTAAAAGGGTTTTGTAGATATTGTTAAGTTTTCATAATTTGCATCATGGATAACTCTTAGTCAGACTACTATGTAAAATCGTGAATCTATAGAAATCTGTTTCGTCCCAGTATGTGACTCCTCATCAATGCGCATCCACGACATTACCAGGAGGAATCGAACCTATAATTTCTAGTAACAATCTACTCATTTATTATTATTGTTAGCAGTAGTAGTAGTAAGAAATTAAAACTAATGTATTTATTGTAATTTCTGTGTCGTTCCACTTTATTGCTTTTGAACTCACATTCACTAATACTGCCTACTTGTTGAGCAGTTATGCACTTTTATATTTTGTAATTCTCAGTACTGATTGAACTTCACAAAACAACTTAATCGTGTAGTTTTTGAGTAAGGTGATTATACTTTATAGTTAAGAAGAACAGGGAAGAAATCAACTATTCAACATCAAAGAATACCGTCCTACATATACATAGTCAGTTTTTCCCTATACTGTCTATATTGTCAAATTGTTCAGAGAGAGTTATCAATTAAACTGAAGATAAAGTGTGACTGAAACAACTTTTCAAAGGACAGATTTGATGATATATACGATTAAAGAAAATAAATACTTCAAAAAGTAATAATATGAGAATGAACATCTGACTTGTTTAGTCCACCTCATATATAAATAAATCCAATCAGATAAATCCAGAAACACTACTTATTAACTTGAATTCAACTAAACGAAATGATTTTCTAATTATGATATCTCCTTAATCTGATCAACGATTATTACTGACTGTAGTTAATTTTTTCTTAAATCTGTTTTTTCTTGCATTCTTTTTAGGTAGATATTTTGCGTTAGTTTCAATCTTCTGCTTATTCCTAAAAATTTAAGTGTAAAATCTAATTTGGCATAATGCCAACCAACGATGTACACAGAATAGTTATCCACAATTGATCGATCGCTTGATAGTGATCCATTTCATATATGTTAGGTCCTTCTTAGTGCAGATCGAATGCTATCGACTAAGTTGCAATGTGGCCACTAGTCTAGTTGACTCGACATTGCGTGCAATATGTTAAGATAAGGTGATGTTTGGAGGAAGTCAACACGAAACGCTGTTTTTTCACCCAGGTTTCGTGCTATTTGGCATTCATCAGCAAGGTGTACCTGTAATCTTGAGAGAACTGGTGCCCCCTGACAAAGTCGATCCCAAATCACCCAGATTCACAACCAGAGACGTTACCATTTGGCTATCCGGGCCCAACAAGGTTTCCTGTTGATTACCTCCAACTACCATCTTACAGAATAGTGGAAGTATGTATTTAGAAGTTGAAAGAAAAAAACTACCCATAGTGAAATGATTAAGAATTATGTTCTTTAAATAAATGAAATCTTTATAATCGATGTCATGTTAATTTATTGAGTATAATCACTGAATTGTAAATAAACAATCATAAATAATAAATATCTTCTTACTATTTCACTAATTCATGACAAAAGCAACAACGACAAAAAACAATTGACTGATCATCACCCAGTGATCAATCAATTGTGATTACATCACGGTCCTACAGGAGGTCGGTCACGGCCCAGATAGCTCAGTGGTGACGTCTGTGACTGTGAAGCCGGATGACACGGGATTGAATCCGTCAGGGAGCACCAGTTCCCTCAAGATTACAGGTACACCTTGCTGATGAGTGCCAAGTAGTACGAAACCCGTGTGCAGGGTTTCCTGTCGACTACCTCCAACCACCATCTAAAAAACAAACAAACAATTTATTTATGATTTCCAATAGTGTTTTAACATACTTAATTTTCACATGTTCTCTGCTGAATAAGATTAAATGACCATGGTTTATGGTAGAAATTAATTATGATCAATATAAAGCTAGCTGATAACAAAACTAATACAATAAATAATTTAATACATGTGATAAGATATGAATTTTATTGAATTATATAATTAATTGTATTGTATGAAATCTAGTTACTGTTTACTGATAATAACTAATGAAGGTTAATTAATACCATGAACTGAATAATGTTGTTAGTAAATATGAAGCACAGAAAGTTGTTTTTTCTACCTATTGGGTCAATTGTAACATTGATGTTTGTAAAAATTAATACTCATTTATAAATAAATCTCAGTGGTTAAGATCATTAGTCAGTTGAAGCAAGACCACCTTGGGAAATCTGGAAGCACTGGACGGCCGTTACGTCCTATTATATATATATATATATATATATATATATATATATATATATATATATATATATATATATATATATATATATATATATATTACTGCTTATACTTTTACTACCTCTACCACTATTGTATTTGAATCGACAATTATATCTCTGTGCTAATGTGGCTTAGTAACTCGAACTGATGTACGTACGTACGAAGTTCTACATTAATGCTGACTGATCTGACTGACTGAATGTATTTGTAATATTCCAATGAGTAGAAAAATTAAATTTTTTGACGGTTTGTGATTCATTGTAAGCAACTTCTTTAAAGAATAAATAACCAAATCTGATTGTAACAATCGCATTTACACTTGGATAATTTGATCTGATCCGAATGCTCAATTTATTCGAAATTATCAAATCAAACCTTGGTAATGATATCTATAAGACTTGTTCAGTTTTCATCATATCTTACATTCTAATTATATATAAATTTTAAATAAGACAACTGTACATATCGATTACATGTGTTTACAGAGACTTCTCTGTTGACGTTACTTGATAATGAAAGCTTTCGTTAAATTATTGAAGTACATCTTCTTAAAGAATTGTTAGAAATATCTACTTTTTCAATTTTATTTATTTATTTATTCGAACATATAAACATTGATACAAGGAGGCGCCATATAGATATGTGCCACTTAAATCATTCGATTTGTTTGAAGGATGGGATACTGCTCAGGTGCCTGGAACGAAACAGATAGTTTTCTTAGGGGGCCACTACGCAAGCCTTTGAACTAGAAGTCTAATCCACAAGGCAGTGGAGCAACGTAAGGAGATGCAGTCCCATGGTAAACGGTGACCAAAGATTAGTTCATACACCATTTGTTCCTTCAGAATACTGGAGCCCATATGCACCATTGGTTTAGAATCAGGGTTTTCCAACTTCCGCAGGTAAACTCTCTGTGTCCACCAACTCGTTTAAAGCACCAGACATTCGCTTTTCGTTCTCTCAATTTCGTATGCAACACCCCTGCCACGAGAAGGCAGTGAGTAGGATTTCCCTGACAGTGGTTGTATGCACGCCGTCATATATATATATATATATATATATATATATATATATATATATATATATATATATATATATATATAATATCTCATTATCTATTTTTCAAATGTAAGCTTTATTATTCAACTCAAAATAATGTTACACCCTAACAATAATTGGTGAACTTAGAATAAAAAGTCTAACGTGAAAGCTATAATACACTGAGATAAACTGTCTCCTGGTGATTAGTGTAATTTCGAAATAGAATACCACTTTCCGAGTGTTTATTAAGTTATAATATTCAGTAAATACATTATTAGTGTAATTTCCTACCAATTGGAAATTTATGTATTTTACTTTAGGTCAAACATTTCTTATTAAGGCTATTAGACACTACTCGACTGTGAGAAAATCTAATAGATTAGGCAATATTCCAATCTGCGACTCAACTAATAAACCACCTCTCCATCAGACAAGTTCTTATTTTGTAACTCGGTTACAACATCGAAACTCAAATCTAGTGAAATAAAAAGGATGAAATGTGTTTACAACTCAGAATGAGGATTTTAGATCTCGAGCTCTCTGTATTGGTTAGTTTATTAGTGAACCTTTCAATGTTTTTCTAGAGAATATTATCAACCCATACTTAGGATTTCTCCATCATCAACTAACAAGTTCTGTTGACCTAGGATTTGATTGATTGTTGTTGTCAGAAAAACAACCTGTTTACAAAATGTTGAGAAGTTCGAAGAGCTCACTTCTTTCTTAACTATGATGATGACAATATCAAAAAATACAGTGAAAGTTTCACAACTAAATCCATCCAAAAGGCAAAACAACTTATCGTGTACAAAGCTAATGTACGGTAACCATAATCTCACACATCGTAGTCCATTGCAAGCTACTATTTTTCAATATATTTTTCTTTATAAGAATGGTCTCAAGTCTTTGTTTGTTCAATTTTAGTTGTCAATCATAACAATTTAAATATAACTATTCAATATGAATGGTCACTTAGTGTTTGCAATGCATAGTAATGTTAAACATGCAAAAGTCTATTCAATAACTATAGATAGTCAAACAATTCCAAGTTGTATCTCACCATCAAAAAGTTTAAGACAACAATTACAATATTTATCAACAAATCCAATACACCCAAATCACTTAGATAAATTTGTCACCAACGATTACTTGGATAATGTAACAAACTCATTAACCAACTATTATAGCCAGTAAAGATTTTCACATTTATCAACACTTTCTACCTTCAGATACCTTTTTTATATGACAGTAATAATAGTATTGTCTATTTCTTTAATCTCTCTCTGTGTGTGTGTGCCATTCTCATTGTATTTGTAATGATAGGCACAATAATAAGTATCACTGTTTTCCTTCAGTATCTTACTGGTTTTTGATAAATTTGTTTTCTTGTTTAACTTGACAACAATAATAGACAACACCCCAATAAGAAAGAAACTAAACTACAATATGAAATTGTTGAGTATATTTCCTTTTTCGAATTATTGAAATTCTTACCGGTTTATTGTTAGATATCATTTTTCCTTTGCTCATTCTTTCATCATGTCAAGGTGTAACTAATCATTGTTATTTTTGTGAATTTCGCATATGTTTTAAGCTTAGTAGTGATTATTTTTGTAAGCCTTTCTATACAGGGACAAATTTTGTTAGCCAGTACATATTTTGTAACAAGAGATTATATTCCTGATTAGTACATGTCTTTCTTTGTTTCTTCCTACAAATTAATATTCTGGGATAACAGATAGAAATCAAATGGTATGTAATTTAAGTATTAATGATTAAACATTCAAATTTACAGTTCTTAGGCTCTAGAATAGATAATATCTGATCGCTGTGTCACTGGTAAACCCTTTTCGTAAATTCAACTTAATTCTTTCGAAAACCTTTCTGTTCTTCATTTGATATTCTCGCGGCGAGGGTATTGTTTACGAAATTAAGAGGACGAAAATCGAATATCTGGCGCCTTAACCGAGTTGATGGATATGGAGGATCCACCTAGAGGAGTTGGAAATCTCTGATTCCAAACAAATGATGAACATGTGACTCAGGATCGTAAAGCAACAAATGGCGTATAAACCAATTGTCGGTCTCCGGCTACCATGGTTCTGCACCTCCTTACATTGCTCTACTGCCTTATGGTTCAGACCTTTAGGTCGAAGGCTCCGGATGTGGCCTTTTAAGAAAAACCATCTGCTTCCGTTTGGACACCCGGGTAGTATCCCAGCCCTAATACAAATCGAGTGATTTATGTGGCGCATATGGATTCGGTGCTCCTTTGTATCAATGTTTATGTGTTTAAACAAATAAGTAATGAATAAATATTAGTTTTTGTAACTCAGCAATAGATTACAGGTTTTTGTGAATATTTTGTAAAGAATTGAGATACCACCTATCAATTAAGTTGACTAGTGTTTATAAGCCGAGGTTAAGTTATTGAGATACAGTTACACTTCCAGGTGAAGATCTGAATCGAGAAATGCCGTTGATGTTAAGAACTTGATGAGAAATTAATCTGTTCTAGCTGACGCCAGCAAACTTAACTTTCCAAGCAACATCTCTCGTAAATGTCATTCATGAATTTAAATAAATTTTACATCTTTTGTAAATTCAAAAACAACAAAATCCAGTGCTCATATTTTGTGACATACTTCATAATCCATACCATATGCTTAAGTAAACAAATAAACAAACTTGGTTTATACATTTTAAGGAGCAGATACGACAAAACCAGAAAAGTTCGTCCCAAAACTAGAACTTTAATATCTAACTGTCAATACACATCTACAGGATATGAAAATTGCATCTCAAACGGAGACGATAAATTAAATGATACCCCTAAATAAGTTACACGAAATCCTGATACTATTCACTCCATATCAGTGTCAATTATTTATTTTAACACATAGATATTTGTACAAGGAGGCATCAAATACATATGTGTCACACAGATCTCATTTGATATGTGTGAGGGCTGTGATACTGCCCGTGTGCCCAAACCGAAGCGGTGTCAAATGACAGTAGGTTCTTGCGTATCCAAATTATAGTTCGAACGACTCAGCACGGGATAATATAAAGAGATGTTAAGCAACTGATGAGTCATATTTTCCCAGAAAAACCTAAAGATTTCGACTTGATACGCTTTTAGTAAGACTCATCAGCCTGAAGTAAGAAATCAATGCAAGACGACTAACGCTTATAATTTTATGCTGCCAAAAGGCATATGAGGCTTATGATAGAAAAAACTGGAATTCCTTAAGTATATACACAGATCCAACCGGAAAAACTTGACAACGCTAGTCTTTACAGACTACAGTTTATGTAAGACCACATCTGAAACCTCCCGTTTTTACCATTTTCATGTTATTTGGTATTAGCCCAACAACGATCTCTAGCTTCCCCACTTCATTAAATAAAGGCAGATTCTGTAACAGCAAATATATATAAACATAAATTAATCAACTGCACATGCACATAAATGTAATGACTGAGTTTTAAACCCAAATAACAAAAGAAACAATCTGATAACAAGCTGTATACAGCCAATCACTGAAAGATAATAGGTAATAGGAAAAATAGCGTGAATAAAAACCAAGTATGGTGTTAATAGTTGGTAGATCACAGAAATAGAATCGAAAGATGAAGAATTCCGCAATATTGCTTTTATCATCACAGGATCCAATTAAACACTGTTAAAATAGATCAGAAATATTTTAAAACATCCACCAAAAAATATGTACAATGTGGTCACTTCTAGATACTTTAGCTAATACAGTTGTGTGATGAACACAAAATCAATCAACATAACAAGAGTGAGAGAACATAAAGTCGACTATAAAAATGCTTCACGGAGTTGATTACGAAAGACTAAAGGTAGAAGTGATAAACCAGCTAAAATAATCAGTGTTGAAAATGAAGCTAAAGAAGTAACGCCTAAATCTGTGAGTTCTTGAAGCACAGTTCCTGCTTTAATGAAAACCAATGATAATGGAACTACTCCTGTAAAAAAAATAGAAAAATAAAAGACAAGAGTGGTGTTACATGAAGTTGAAATAAATACTAGAAAACAAAAATATAGGAATGCTGAAATATCGATGAAGTACTCCATACAAAATATAAATGAGATCTATTTGCAATTTGGAAAAATCGTACACAAAATAGGTTAAGTTATTCAACTTGTAATTATATGGCCGATTACAGGTTTATTCACTAAATCACTTAAAAACCTACTGTGACGATTATCTGGTTTCTCAGTCTCACTATCAAAGTCAAAGGTCCAAACTTAATTATTCAGCTGGAAACTGAGTATATGGACCAATGATAATAATTATACAAATTATATGAGCTTACAAGAAATTTTAGTTATACACCACTAAAGCAGAAAAAACGTGCAAATCAAATCAGCGAAAATGGGCTTGCCGTGTTGACTCCAAACAGAGATGGTCGGCTGGGGACAACCGGTGATCCCATAGATTTTGATTTTCTTACTTTTTAATAAGATAGTTCAGATCACTTATGAGAGGTCTTTTTAAACACTGCCCGACCGTTGTTGCTACCTTGACGTGGTGGTCGGGCTTGCCTATCGTGATGAAGCAACCGAGCTATACTGGCTGGAACAACCGTTCCTCGAGGTCCTACCATTTCAGACAGGTCGGTTGAAGAGCGGTAAGACTAAAAGCAACAAACCCAAGGTCCGAAGGCGAAGTCGTACTGCTGACTGTACAGAGGTGTGACAGCAGTAAGGTGTTTCCCTCGGACAACCAGCATGACAGCGATGCTGCCTTCCCACAAGAAGGGGTGGGGTTAGAAAAGGTCGACCCTAAAAATGCACACCTCACCTTACCTCACAGATTTCCGTCTCCGGCGGTTAGGCCTTTTGAAGAACGGAGCTAACACATCAAAAACCTCCCACGAAAAGGCCGTGCGCGACCGGCCTCAAGCAGTTGTCCCTTGGGCACTGCGGTCACGCTCTCAGGTCACTGAGACCACCTCTAATCCAATTTCCTTTTCAGGTACCTCCAGAAGAACCCTTCCTCGGTGTGGGCAACCGGGAAGTGATAACCGCCCTCATACCTCTAACAGCACTCGAGACCACTGTATTTTAAACACCGGTATAAGTGTTGGAATAATTTAACAGCCGCATAAGTTTACCGACATAATAGTGTAAAAAGCTTACCTACAAATGTTCCAAAGAAGAAATGAACCAGTGGGATATCGATTATTGGAGAAGAAATATTCACAAGCCAATTTGGGATGAAAGGACAGATTCGCAAACAGCATATACAAAAAAACATTGCATGTCGATACCGTTGAATCTGAAACATACTAAAAGATGGATGATCCGAACTTACTGCTTGACGACATAATTCAATTTTTTCAGGGATGAAATACATCAGTACTTTGGAACCGATAAAGCCAACGAGAAGATAGCACAGTGACGCCCCAATCGCCGAACACTAAATACAACTTTATCGATAATTTTGTGGTGGCTTACCAAAGCTACAATAATGACAGCGACTGGGAAAGGGAACAGATATCCCAGTAGAACCACACACACGACCGAACCTGGTATCATGAATGACTGAAGGCTATGTTTCAGTTAAGAAACAATTTAAAAAGTTTCATCAGGATACATAAGTTAAGCGATAATACATCGGCCGTGAAACGAAGCGACTAGAGCCCCAAGAAAGCCACTACGCTGACCGACTAACATTTTGAACGAAATAGTATCTTAGTACAGTAGAAATGAAAGAAACATCTGGTTTGAACAGCTAAATTAACCTTACGAAACAGGTGTCTACAATACCAAGTAATGACACATTACATGTTTGACAGAAAGGGATCTCCATCTTTAGCAGCACAAGTGAGGCTCTTTATACACGTTTCGTAATCAGAATGTGATTACATGAGCACAAGCGCTATTCCTAACTACTTATTCCAAGTTAGCATAAACCCCAACCATCTAAAGTTCAGCATATTTCAAACTCAGAATAAAATACTCAAGGCATTTGTCTAAACCACTAAATTCGAATCGTGGATTAAACTCGGAAACGATAACTGGTTATTGTCATCTATACGTAATGAGATTACATAATATGGTTATGTGCACGTAATAAGAACGATAAAGATAAAAAACGGTAAAATAAAACCCCAAGTAATCTGATACCAGCCACAAACCCTGATACTTAAAAAGTTAACAATATACACGAGGCAACATCTACACACTTAGTTTTCCAAATATATGGAGTAAATATGATTTCTAGAAACTGGAAACTAGGGTGTTTAACAATTCAGAATTTAAAGTCTGTTTACTGTTGAGGATGTTTCGAACTTGGACTTCTCTCTCTAGTTAGCGGAGCTGGGAAGCATCTGTTGATGGTTTCGCCGCATTAATGACCGTTCCTGCATTTTTGTTAGATTTCTGCAAAAACAATCTTTATAGTGTCCTGGATTGATTGCACATCACTATGTCTGTTTTTTTTTAAATTTCGAAGTTTAATCAAAGGACGATCAGGACAAGTAATTATAGAAAACTAATCTATGAAGAGTAGCAAGCAACAGCGATAACAGATGCACAAAATGTTTTGTTCTACAACATCTATCTATATGGAAGTGGTTGCGGAGATGCAAAAAAATGAACTAGAAATGTCCAACGATAAGATAAGGACTTGGTGGGTCACAAAAAGTTTACCTTATGTAATTCACAATTCGCCATTGACTGTCGAGTCCAAGGACAAGGTTTGAGTAAGATCTAGAACACGTCAAGTCATTATTTAACAAGCTATTACTAGCAGCTGTTGTTAGGACCCATAAGACCAATGAAATAGGAAGACAAACTGAAGATGACACTTAACAGAAGAAGCACCTGAGTAACCCTTGCTTGTACTACGGAGACATGCTGCTATGTGATGCGCACAAGCTCTAAGTAACTAAAATATATGTCCGCGTTATTCGCAACAAAAAACGACCCTCAGAAACAGGAACAAACGGACGCTGACTTTATGGAGATAAACTGATTCTTAAGGGATTTCACATCGTCTAGGTTCGAATTCGAATGGTCCTCAAATCACTGTGAGTTGCACTAAAAAGTATCAGACAGAAATACCTGTCTGTCATACCAATCACGATGGTCTGCCGAATAACAGAACTCACATATTCAGTAGCAGAGAAAATCCTGATGTATTTGAAACCTCAAAAATGACTGACGTCTGGCACATGACAGCAAAATAAAACTGACAAGCTTCTTGCTATTAAGAGCTGGCGGATAACCTTACGTGTAAGGATGTTATCGTTTTCCTGAGAAAAAAACTTATTAGAACCGATTAGCATCGGAACTACACACAAGTAGAACTGAAAGGATACAATATGAAAACGGTGCTTATCAGAATTAATATTTGCCAGTAATAATTGTCTTGGTATTCTGACAGGACTAGACCAATATTTTTTAACTCGTCAACATTGTGAGGAAATTTAAAGTGTCCTCGATGTTCCCTGGCAGCTAAAGTAAGAGAATAATATGTATTTACTCTGGAATTGAGGGTAACCGGCGAGTGATATATACAAGCAATGACGCAAATAAAATAAATGACAGGCTAACGATAAGAAACGGCCTTAGCCGCTCACTACCAACAGCCTTCATCCCACCCCGCCTCTGTAAAGGTCGACCTCAGGGACAAATGGTAGGAACTGAAACAAATTGCTCATGTGGTTCAAGGGGTTTGGAACGAATTTGAAGATGCTTTGGACTAATGGACTTCTTCCTCTGACACAACTTTTGGTCATTGAGAAACATTTCAGCTTCCTCTCGAAATACTCTTACAAAAATGCTCGGAACATCTCAAATGACAAAGAAATTCAAGTTTTGACTACTAGTTACAAATAAAATATATATCGACGGTCCACTTTTCAGTGTCACACCTCTAGTTTTTGGGTATCCCCTCTGAGGTTTTTGTTAGAACCGAAGCTGTGTAATTATTCTAGAAGATGTCCGAGTATATTGAAGGTGCTTTAAATCATCATGTGTCTACCTCTGTGTGGCCTTTGTTCCAAAGAACAAACTGGTGATTTAAACCTTCCCTTTCAAAACTTGGGTTTGAGTCCACGAATGAGTCCCATAGTCTCTGGATACAATTCAGAGTATTTCAATTCTTCTGAAGGGAAAGAAACTGTGTTTTTATTATATTGTAGCGTCAGTGAAATGCCGCTGAGCCTTAGCTGAATAATTCAGAAGGCAAATCACTAATGTCAAACAGCTTGTGGATCCTCTTCAAGGTCAGGGATAACCAGGTGTATCAATTAACTGCACACTACGGACTTGCCCACGTAGCAGTGGTCACACTGTTTCTTCTACCTATTCTTAACAATAAATTTCGACCAAAACACAATTTTCAGCTTATGCTGTCGTCAAAGTAGGTACAACGAAAGAGCGGTACATGTTGAGCATTAACTGCAACGTGAGACTTCGATGTTAGCCAGAAATTTACACCATTCCCGTCAAGCTCAAGTGGATCTCAATCATCGACATAGATCACCTACGTTAATGATCTACACTAATAAAGACAATATAAATGTTGAAAACTGAGTGAAAAGTTTTCCCACCAGGCTAGCCGAAATTGGGCAGTTGGTTTTAAAGTCATTTGTGTTACACTTCACACTGGATTTTGAACCATAGATAATCAAGACACTAAGACTTTTCTCGACTTGTAGGGTGGAACTATCTAGGTGTTTGGCGAATTTTATAACATATCGTAGACTGCCTACTTCATACTTTGCAGACTTTTTTATGGTCGAAACATAGACGTTTAAATTTTAAATTGTCCACGTAAAATCACTGCGTAGAATACCATGATCAATTATTGCTAAGAGAGTAAGAATAAACGGATCGCTGTTTCGGAAGTATTCGTCTGCCAAAGCGCGTTCTGCACTTGACGGCGACTCGACAACTCTTCGCATAGTTTCTGACCCTTATCCTTGAGCTGACCTAGTTCCTCAAGCAGATTTAATTATTGAGCTTCCGAAATCATCTATTTTACAGATAGTTTCAAATAAATCGAGCATTAAAGGAATGAAAGCCTTCCAAAGTTTATATATACATATATCTTAGACGAAAAAAGCAGTTTGGTCCTTCCGACCTCACGATGCCGTACAGGGCGTCAGCGGCAAGTATCCTACAGATTAACCAATCCTAACACTTCGAAGTATTGGGCGATTACAATGAGCGTCATGCAGCCTGGTCGAAATTGATAATCACCTGACTGGATACATGACGTACCCCAAGTAGCGACGTACGTAAAGAGGATTTCGCCTTCTGCTGCAGATTTTCCGTGGTTATCTCTGATGTCTTTATTAGATTTACAGAAAAGAACATCGAGAGTTGTCACGATTGTGATACTAAGTATGATCTGTCCAATCGTTGTAACGCAAGCTGGTTAACTATAAAGCAATTTCAGTAGTAAGACTAATCATTGAAAGCCAGATCAAAAACGGTTAAGTCCGGGAACACCCTGTGCCGTTTTCTTTATTTTCAAATACAAAATTTACGCGGTAGTCTTTTATCAGGTCTCCAAAAGCTCGAGGTGGCTTGAGTCAAGCTAAAACGCTTCTTGACAGTGAAACCTCGACGAATGATTAAACCGAGTTGCAGTGGATAAAGATCAATAAAAAGAATAGACGGTACGAAAATCAAACACTTCTAGGTTTTCGTTGTTTTTTATTTCAAGTTCCGATTTGTTTAGAAAGGACAGAAGGCCTACGGCCTATGTTAGTCCTTTTGTAGTAAATACCCAGCCTTCTCGTGAATGGGCAAGTTAAAGGTGAGGACACCGCTGCTTCGGACAGAAGGTTTCAAAAATTAATGACTTTGTGTAAAGACCTGTGTGCTACGGGTATTTTATTCTTTCTTGGCTTTTCTACACGCCTGCTATGTCTTCTGAGTTGTCCCAATCTTGTAGGAAGAAAAAGAGAGGAGATATCAGGTCCAAAATAGTTTCTTAGTATTATATACATCAAAATCAGATTGTATCGTAACCTGCGGTAGGATAAAGTGAAGAGGCCTAGCTTTTCAAGACGCTCTTTGTATGATAAACGTCGGAGTTTTGGAATCTCTCAAGCAGCTTCCCTCTTTACACTTCCCAAGGTGTCCAAGTCATCTTTTAAGCAAGAGCTTACAGTCTGAACACATTTTAAGTTCGTTTTTCGCACCGAGGTTATGTATACTGTGGTGAACACTATAGTATCTAACCGGGTAAATGTTCTTTTGAAGCCCAAATCGTTCTAAACTTCTCAGCTACAACCTCATGGCAGTGGACCGTGGTTTTAAGATCATGACTTGCCGTCACGCAGAGGATATGAAGGTAAATAAGCACATCGTAGGGGACATGCCAGCACTCACAGTCCGGTCCCGTCTTGCCTCATTGAAAGATATCGGTAATTTTTTAGATCAGCCAATCACAATTTTAAAGTGAGCTCGAAGTAGGCATGCGTCTATGTCTCTTGATATTTATCTCCGGATTTTTACATCATCAGAGTACAATAACATTAGGGACTCAAATTGAGAGAGGATGTATTAGGTCTGTAGTGGCATAGGACCATAACCACACAATCTTCAAAGCTGAACACAACACTACTCGGAAAATAGATATTCAATATTTACCGCGAAGAAATACCTAACGATGGAAAACTCGGAAACAGATAATTGAATGAATTGGAGTTGATCGGATGGCATGTCTCGATCATACAGGCGTGGTCCATCTGAATGTTACCTTATATCTTCTATTCATATTAAATATATTGTTCCTTCTCTAGCCTAACCTTGTTCTACATCATGTATTGGTAAATGATGCGATACAGTGAGTTGGTGTAGTCGATGGTGTGACTTCCACGTAAGATCTTATAGATTAGGTAGTTATATCATGACAAATCTACAAATTTAGGATTAGGTCTATTATAAGAGCAGTACTAATATCATAGTAGACCATAATTCTACATTAGTGAGCCCAAATAAAGAAACGCAACCTATTATTGTTAATCCTTATTTCCACCTTAACCTTCTCAATCGGTTTTTATTTTTGTAAACCCAGTATTCTAATAGTCCTTTGATTAATGGTCACATATATTATCGTAATTTTATATCTATTAGTTCACATAACTTACTAGCTCAATCGATAATAAAAGTTGATCATCTATATCAACTAATTAGCTTTGATGGTTCGTTAACAAGCTTTAATAGCATTTACCTGCTTCAGCGACATAGACTTGTTTAAACATCAAGCTCTAGCAAATCTGACCTGTAAATAGCGTAAATATACATTGACTAACAATGCAATCAAGGATTGAATAGTTATCTGGATCTAATTCTTAGTGTTCCTTCACTTAACACCTCATCCTGTTTTAAACTATGCACTATCCTGTAATATCTTTTCTTCCGACCACTGCCTGCCTAATTTCATATTTTCGAGTTCCATTGCCAAACAACAAGGATGACACTTCTCCAAAAAAATACGGTGAGTTCCAGCTATAAGTTTTCTGCAATCATAAGTTCATTTTAGATGGCTCATTCAATGGCACACACAATTATCTGGATTCATTCAGTTGTTCCGATCAGAGCGAGTCCCAAAAACCTCAACAGCATCAAGCACCCTGGAAGTGATTGCCATACTGCATGTTTTATTCTGGATGCTTTTGGATCATTACTACTCCTCACGAATGGAGTTATATATGTCGTCCACTGAATAATCTAATTTTCAAAAGTAATCCAGGCGAGTTCAACTATTTTACTGGATGATTTTTTTTACTTAACATGTATAAATTTTCCAGTTGCTTTTGCCACATATTTGTAAGTGTCCTCAAGGTAAATGCAGTAACTTCTTATGGAATGTTTATAACGCGTTATATTCCTGCCTGAAGTTTCATAAACAGTCTTAACTTTAAAATTATTTTTCTGGTCATGTTCATTATTTTTAAATTTTTATATACGTCAACAACCTGCATGCTAACCTGGCCCGTACATACTTTTTACTATATCTTCATATCTTTTGAATTTAGAAATCATCTGAATCGCCTTTAACATTTATCAATAAACCCATCATAGTCGTTGTTGCTAATCCTATTTGGGTTTATGGATTGGTTTATCATATTAGCAGCCTAAAATGCGAACATAGTTTAGATAATAAGATTAAAAATTTAGGTACTATCAACTGCACTAGTAAAATAACTAAATCCCTAGGTAGCTGTTGGCAAAACAAACGTTTAAAATCAAAACTCCGTAGCCCACTAGAATTAACACTAAACGATTCCTTCTGAATTAAAATTTATAATTAAATTAGGCTTCTCGGATTCTTTAACGCTACAAATTTCTGATAATTTCGAATCACCTAAAGCAACAATACCCATTTTTCCACTGACTAATCCTCATTCAACACTATAACTAATTAAACATAATAGTTTCAGGATATCGTCATAAAGCATTGTCATGACTTGACAATCACGTAATATGATTGATAAAATTAATGAAACTATTAATAAAATCGGTCAGCAAATTGACTTATTATTTTCACTAGTGTTGTTTTTCTTTTATCTTCATTCACTACAGATGATTACAGTATGTTTCTCTATCAGATGCTCACTCAGTAAATATCTCGAAACCTTGTCAGTCTAATTGATGGTTTAGCGACACAATCATGCATGCAAATAATCAGTATAAGCAGTCGAGCAAACCTCCTGTAAACTGAAAACATCAATGTCGAATTTACCCCAACACTGACCAAGGTTCAGGCCATTATCATAGACATGAGTTGGGAGTGTACT